CAGTGAGCTAAATTCACCCTTCTTTTATCCCAGTGCTTTTGTGTTTAAAAAATCAATCCTGTGTGAATGAAAATGCCGAAAGCTAGGATACAGAGGAGAGAAAGGGGGCGTGAATAGTGAGGTTTTATGTCAAAAAATTGTTTTTTCCTCTCTTGTTTAAACTATGTCACTTGTTTTCACTCTGGTTCTTACTTCTGCCAGGCATCAGGAAAGGCAAATAAGCATATCTAAGCCTGAAGCAAAGAGGATTAAGATCGGATATCATTACCATATAACTGTCATGTAGTTCTTACCTCCAGAAAATGCATCCTATTTCTTCCCTTGCAGTAACAGTGAGGAGAAGGCTCTCCAGGAGCTTACGCTCTTTGGGGAGAAATTAATACTCATCCCACACAGTCCAGTAGGATCTCCCTCAACGAAATGACCAGAATAATCTTAATGCCATTTTTATTTGTATCCATAAAAGCAGCATCAACAGTCACATGCAGCAGAGCAGGAGCTGCATGGAAGGTGGTCTGGTACTGGCTGGTCCTTGGTCCTTGGTCCTTCCCTGGAGCTGTGGATCACCTGCTGACAGTGCTATGTGCCAAGCCACACTTGAACATGCTGGGCAACCAAATTATTACAAAGGATGATCAGATGATAGTATTCCATGGGAAAAGGAGTAGTAAATAATCAGTAGTAAGCAATGATTAAAGAGACTTTTAGGATTTTTTTCCTGTTAAGAACTGGGCTAGAGATATTGGAGAGTTTTCTCCATTAGAAAGGCACTAAAAATTTCTTCGGCACCTCTCAGTTTGCTTGCTTCCCTCTGGGAGCGCTTTCTGCCATTTGCTCCATGGAAAACTTCCAGCTGGGGGCCTTAAATAGACAAGGTGTAGGGAGCAAGGTAAAGAGCTTTGGCAATTTTGCAGTTGCTCCGAGAGGTTGCTAAATAGGCCAGGCCATTTAGGAATAATTTTTGCATCTACCTTCCTGTCCCTCGCTTTTGCCCCTTCTTGCTAGCCTATGAAGTGGATAAAATACAGCATTTTCCCAGTGCTGTGTTCACGCAGGCAGCTACGGCTTCAGCATGTGCAGACAGGAGGACTTTGTTTCCCTGGCAACTGCAACCACAGGAAAGCTCTTACTGCATCTCCTCCCTTTATTCCACTTAGCTCTTACTGTAGCCTTTGGCCAATGAGGTTGTGAAAATAATTATAACCTAAAAAAAAAGGATTTGAAAACCTGCTCTCCTTAACCCACCCTGCCTACCTCCCCGCCTCTAGAGTAAGAAGGGACCTTTGCCAAAGAATCCTGAATCAAAACACCCAGAGTCTTTAAGCTTTGCCCTGTCCTGAAAATCCAACGCAAACCTGGTCCTTAGGGGAGCCTGGTCTTTAGGAGATGATGGTCTTTAGCTTTGGCGGAGCGGTGGCCGTGTGTGTGTAAGCCCTGATAAAGCAATAGCTAAAGGCAATGTTGAAGCCCTTCCCACCTGATATTATTAGCTAGCCTGTATGTCCCTCCCCCACCTTCTCTGTTCAGTCAGAGAATTTCATTAGGAATGCAGAAGGAAGCACTTTGTGATTCTAAAATTTCTAGTTTATGGTTTTCCTCCAACCTAAATGTAGGGATATTGTGTAGCTGACCTGTGAATGAGGCAGGGATCCTGGGGGAAAAATGACATGATTTTGTAAATGCACCTGCATTGAACTGCCTTAGTACAGGACAAGTGAGTGTGGTACTTCTTTGCCTTTGAGGGCCAAAATTTACAGCTTAAATAATGTTCCTGGAATACAGAATTTGCTGTGGAATTTTTTTTTTCATTTACACAGAAGAAAGGTCCAGGCACTGGTGCGTGGCCAGGTGGGGTTAAGTTGACTGCAGACCTTTTCTTTCTCTTTGCTCATGAGTTCAGGAGACTTCTGTCCTCCTCCCCAGGACTATCAGAAAGGATATAATGGCACTGAGTGGTGGCTTCACATGATGATAAAGATGAAGAAAGTAGCTGACCATGGTTCATTGCAAATGTTTCCAGCACCTATGGCAAGCCTAGTCACTGATAAAACAGCTATTTAAGTTTTCCCCAAGAATGTGAACACAAAAAAGATCAAGATTATTTTTAACAGTTCATGAGAATTTCATTTGACTTTTGAAAGAAAAGGCACTTCTCTAGACCAAGGGCTCTTTACTCTCAAATCACTAAGGCCCTCAATGAACACTAGCTGGAGCTGAACTTCTTGCAGGGAGGGCACACAGTCAGGTAACATGAGGCAACTTGTGTTTTGTCACTGTCTTGGCCTATAGTTTGCAGTGTCCTGGCCAAATTCTACCTCACTTCTTGGTAACATATCCTTACTCCACTAAGGGACAGGGAGTTGCTGTTAGCACAACTTTTTAATGCTAACTCTGAGACCATGGAAGAGTTTCAGTGCAGAATTTATCTAGAAAAAGCTAAAAGACAGTCTACTGTCCATTTTGAAAAAAAGCTCCGAGTCTACTGTTGTTCTTGAAAAAGTTTTTAGTCTACTGTTAGCTAATCTTACTAGGTTTTTTTTTCATGTGATTTATGTTTTAGATTTATGCATAACAAAAAAAGGCTTCCCCATATGGATATTTCTGATTCATAGCAACTGGAGAATTGCAAACTGCTGCTACTTTCTCCCTCTCTACAGACCAACCCTTAAAATGTGTTTTATTGATTAAATAGCTATATTGCAACTGTGTATGCTTGCACTTAAGGTACTTCTCAAAACAATTACTCATTAGAAATGGATTGCCAATAACTGCTAAAAATATTGCTAACTTATGGATTTCCTGCATACTTTAATTCCAGAATATGGAGAAGTCCAGAGAAAATGTTATAAAGAAAATGGCAATTGCCAAATGCTTCTACATATGAGATGAAGTGGCAACACTAATGCTTCTACATATGAGATGAAGTGGCAACACTAATTCCTTTCAGTATTTTTGCAGGGGCAAATAGATTGCAGAGGGGAAAAAAATACACCAAGGCAGAAGTCTCTCCATTTTGTATTAGGGTCTTGCTTTGTCTTCCAAGAAACTATTTTCTTGGGCTTGCATTTGGCTTGGGAATGCTCTTGTTGTATGCCTGCTGTCACTGCGTGCACTTGTTGACTGCTTCAGAAAAGGTTAAACTTTTAAACAACTTTGTAGAGATGGTAGTGAGCAGATACTGCGATATGCTGATGTGCAACGAGCAGATCTGTTCTGGACAAAGCAGTGACCACAGTTAGGCTATACACGAGGAGCATGAAGTAAAGTTTCTACTTTAAAAAAGGTGAAGGAAACCCACAGTCCCTTCTTGGGCCGTATGAACTTCACCAAAAATGCACAGAAATGCTTGGCATTCTGCTCTTGCCTGTAGAGACCTGGTTTCACACTGCGTGTTTTGAGACGAGGCCAGTCTGGCTACATCCTACCTCTTCTGAGGGAGTGGGGATTACCCAGGATCCTGCCTCACCTCTCCAGTTTGACATATGGAAGGAGCTGTGGAGGGGATTTCAAGGCCCATGTGTTCAGGGATCTTGAACACAGATTAAGATCCCAACCTTGCCTGATGGAATATTTTAGGAATTGGTTCCGAGTGGGTTCATTTCTGCACAGTTCATGCTGGGGGAGCAGGTCTTTGAAGGTGGAGGTTAATGAGTGGTGCAGAATGGGATTCTTGGCTCCCAGTACAGCACAAGGCAGTTTGAATACACTATGGGCATTAACGAGGGGTGCTTCAGCTCTTCCTGACTCTTTCTCCTTCTCCTTTAGTAGCCAGCTTCTGACATTCCTCTGAGTTACAAATAGAAAGGAACCACACATGGCTATCCGACAAGAAGTGCTTCGGATATACAGTTATGAAGCTGAGTCACAAAAGAACTGATAGATGACCAGGAAGTATAAACTGAAAATGCCTGTTTTGTCCAACAGCTACTAGTCCACAAATCCTGTGGGATTCAGTAAGGCAGGAGGGATCATTGCTTGAGGCCTGGGGTGCAGGGGGATGGGGAAAGGCAGTTTGGAAAGTTTATACAAATTTTGCAATCATTTGGTGTAGAACTTACTTCTTGCTTTTCTTTTTAATTTGCCTGCCTCTCAGTGTTCAGACAGAAGTCATGTGAGCTTGTGAGCTGCGGGGACGGAGGCAGAGGAGAAATGTGTGCATTAGTGCAGAGTGCTGCTGGAGCCCTGGCAGAGTAAGAGGGAGGCAGGGAGAGTGTGAGAGTGAAAAGGGGAAGTGCTGGGAGCTGGAACAGCAGCAGCTGCTGATACCACATCGCTGCTCCTGCCTGGGAATCAGCTCCATTGCCTGCACGTTCTTCTGTCTCCAGAGGCGCAGATGCCTCCGGTTCAAAAGTCCTAGAAGATCTCTGGCATTCCAGGAGCTAAGCAGGTGAGCTTTTTTTTTTTTTTTTTCCCTTTTTTCCTATGGAACATCCCTCTGGAGACACTGCTCTTTTCACAGGACCAAAAGAGGTATTTTATGTCATTAATGTGTGTCTTCTCTGAAAGCCGGTGTGGGATTTGAAAGAAAATAACTTGGGGAAGAATGTCAAAGCAGGTGTGGAGAGAGGGGTGTATTTTCCTCTCTCTTCCTCTATTTAGGAGAGCTAAAGCAGTAAGAGGCCCCAGACATTAGGGGCCACTAAAAATATGGAGAATGGGAGAGAGAGGGTTAAAGCGTGGGTGGGGGGATGGAAGCTGTTTCCCATCTGCATGGTGTTTCTCCTGACTGTTTCTCTGTGTAAGTGGAGGAAAGTGGAGGAAAACTTTCCCTGTGCATCTGAAGGCACAGAATTTACTCAATACATATCAAGATATAAAGCTTGTATTTGTTTAATATGAATGTGATTTGCTCAAATTCTGGCAAATTATGTCTCCTGCCACAACAGAGCTCTTCTTAAAATATACGCGTTTTCAAGGTCTTAAGTGTCCAGTGGCTGTGCTGGCATTGCTACTTCATTGCCCTTCTTCTTTCTTTCTAGTGCACACAAGTTCTTCTGCTGTCTGCACTCCTGTCCTGGCCTCTCTCCTGCCTGCGGGATCCGTGGCCCTATGGATGCCCCTGTGCAGATTTTCCGGGAGGAGCTGGGCTCTTCCTGCCCCCCAGGGCCCTGCCGTCCCCCCAGCACCAGCAGCAGCTGGCCCCTGGGCTGGGCAGACTATGACAGTAACAGCACTGGCACTTTTGGGGACGTCCAGCACAACCACACCAGCATCTCCCCCGCCATCCCCATCATCATCACTGCTGTCTACTCGGTAGTCTTTGTGGTTGGCTTGGTGGGAAACTCTCTGGTCATGTTTGTCATCATAAGGTAAGGTGGAATGCGTGGCTTTGGAGCACTGATCGAAAGAAATGCACAGGACAGCCCCTAAATTTCTTGAGAGGAGGGCAAAGAGTTGTGGCTTTTTTTCTGGGAGGGTGTATGTGAGGAGATGGAAAAAAGCAACCTGAATGAGCTCAAACGCTTTCCCTCCGAGTAGTCTCCCTGGAAGTAGAAGGGAGAAGCAGGTTAAAAGTGATAAATCCTGCAGCCTGCAGAAAAGGCATAATATGCCTTGGAGCTGTGTTCGTTGGGTGCCCTCTAGGGATGAGAGACTGCTGTAGTCCAGGGGGAAGCTGGAGTGGAAGAAGGTAACTTCTGCAAGGCAGCTTTCCTTCCAAGAAGTCCTCTAGAGAGCAGGATGCTCTTGTGGACACCGATATATTGCTGTCTTACAGTCTCGTTACTCATTTAGCAAGGTGGGAAAACTGAAAATGTTAAAAATATGCAGAAATACTCAATGTAAAACAAGGAATGTTGTTGCTGTGTTTAGTGGGTATGAACTCTAGTTGTTACCATTTGCTTAGCTTAAGCAAAGTAGATGCTGAGCGAGGACTTTGTTTCATTTTTTTTTTTTTTTTAAGAAACTGGAAGAAAGCTCTGCATCTACACTGATAATTATTCACATTCAACTACTCAGTGAAATCACACATATTGACACTTACAGTAGTGTATTATAGTATATTTTAGTCTGAATTCTCTGCCCCTCCTCTTTTTGTCCTTTTTATTTGCAATTCATAAAATGTTCTGAACTGTGCAGATAAGCAGGGTGATGGCTGCAAATGGGAAATTCAACTTTTAGACTGTTTCTTCACATTCTATGTGAAATCTGCAAAAAAAAAATCCTGAGAAAATAATTTTGCTTAAATAAAACCAGCTTTAACACAAAAAGAAAACTAGAGGTATTGAAACATATCTTGTGAGTAAAACATGTATGGTAAGGGTCAAGCAATTGCAGAACAGTGAAATAACCTCTTGACCTAATATAGGGTGAACAATGGAAGGAATATAGGTCTACAATGGAAGCAGTGTACTTATGTGCTTTACTAAAGATCATCTATAATCAGATGAATATCCTTGAAAAATGGAAATAAAATCCTATTTAAAAGTCAGTCCAATAGATAAAGATGCCTGTTGTCAATGCAAAGGTTTGTTCTGGCTTTGTGAGGCTGTAATTTTTATACCTTTCCATCCTGCTTTACCCAGTATATGGATTAGAGATTTCATTTATTTTGGTATATATTTTGCAAAAAGACAGGCAACTGACACATGCTTTTCACTGCTGCAAAGGCAGGATTTTTCCTAAGCCATCTGTCATTAAAAATGATAGTGCTAATTAACTGCCCCTGGCCAGTAGAAATAAATACAAAGTTAGCCAGAGCTCTGAAAGCTCTCCATCTTATTACATTGTTTTTGTGTTTCTTTTTTTTTTTTCACTCTTCTTCTTTTCAACCAACCTAAGAATATTTTTGTGAGGTTTCAACCAGCTATGGCTCCCTCTCTGATTATCAATCCCTGCTTTAGGCCTTTGCTATAGTTGCCCCTGTGTCTATCTCCTGATTATGTGATCAAAGAATCTCCTTTTCCCAGGATTTCTCTGTGGCAAATACTTCAAACAGTACTAGAATGATGGTATGTATATTCGGTCTGTGGTATGTATATACACGCCTGCAGATTTAAACTTTTTAATTTTATAAAAATAGTTTTGAAATATCCCAAATATTCATGAAGGAATGTTGTTTCCCATTTTTGTCATGGGAAATGTCTTTTCCCATTTTTCTCCTAATCACTCATCTCCCTCACAACTATTTTCTGCATGTCTACAGCTCAAGATGAGTGTTTGTGAGCCACTGAAAAATGTAGACTGCAGCGATGAGTGTGGAAAGCCAAGGTCTGTGGAAATTTTGTGGAAGATAGTGATAAGAGAGAGTTTATTACACTCCCTGGCCATTCCATGTTGCCTTTCCTTTAGCTGCTACAGGTCTTAAGAAGGATGGGGACAGACTCCTTGGCTCTTCTTCACTCATCATTTAGGCAGAGGGTTTATGTGAATCCTCTCATTGCCATTTCTCTTCTCTCTGAAGGCTAGAAAAACCGTTCTCCTCCCAACACTTGCTGGATTGTTAGGCAACACAAGTCTTCTCCTGTTTCTCTTTAAAATAACATACTGTTACACCCCAAGTCATCTTTTGGGTGACATGAGTAACACCCCTTACGACCTCAGCCTCTTGCTAAAACTATTGTTGAGATTAAGGAGCCTCTGAAAAGTCTTGAGGTGCTTCAGAAAGAGGCTCAAATCCAGCCAAAAGCTGTGGAGTAGGCAGGTCTCAGCCTGTGCCTTCCTTTACACTGCCCTCTTCCCCCATCCCAAAACTCCACTTGGCAACTGTATTCTACTTCTATGCAAGGGTTACTGAAGAAACTCATGGAGACCAGTGAGTTGGTGTGGTGCAGACCATCTCAGCAGTCTGTGTGCAAGGGGCTGTGTGTCTGAAATCTCCTTCAGGTGTGTGTGCAGTGTGTTTCTGACTTATTGTCTTACTTTTGTGGATGGCTGAGAAAGAAAAAAAAAACATGACAAAAATACAAAAAAAAAACCCCCACAAAAATAATGGAAAAATTGCAGCTCAATAATTTACAGGCTACTGTCAAAAAAAAATTTGAGCTTGATACATCTATGTATAGACATAGTTGTATGACTATACAACTTTTCAATCTTGATTAGGAATCAAATCATATTAACTACATGGTTTAGTCAGGAGAATGTTCTTTCAAATAGTTTCTTTTTAATGTGACTCTAACACCAACCTACTGAAGATTTGGGCTAAGTAGCAGACTTTGGCTCTTTCCTAGGCCTCCTGTTGGAGTGCATGTACTTGTGTATCTATGCGACTATGGTGAAATTGCAATTTTCCTCCCTGCAGTAATGAGGAAGAGAAGAGAGAGGCCGCTCATAGAGGTTACATACCTCTTGAGTTAAAAGGGAGGAATTAAAGGGCATTTTATACACTAGGAGAGAAGCACTGAAGAACAGAGAGGCAGAAAAAAATGAACTAAGGAAGATTTCTCCCTAAGATAGTAACAGAAAAAGAAAGAGAAAATTGTGGGTCAGAGTGTAGGGCACGGTGGTATGTAGTCTGGAGAAGTATTATTCTCAGTAACTGGAAAGGAAGGCAGAGCCAAGAGAAATACAAACGTTCCTAAAGCATTTCCTCCACGGAGAATAAAATCTTTACCATATTTTCTACGATAGAGATCACTGGGGAAAATGGCAAGGATGCTTTCTAGGAGCTGATGGTGAATAGGATGTACTTTTGAGGTCCTCAGCTCCTGAGATGGGAATAGAAGATGGATAAGAGCAACTGTTTTCTGCTCCAGTGAATGTAGAAGTGGAAACAGGAAAAGTATTGAAAAATGTTTAAGAAAAATAACCTTACAGATATGGGAGGCAGTGCTGAAGAGAAAGGGATAGGTTGATGCATAGGAGTAGAGATATAGTCTTTCCCGTGCTTTAAAAGCATGGGGAAATAAAATGTATTGAGAGGAAGATGGGAGAAATATATCTCTTTCAAATGTTAGGAAATCTCTGTGATGAGAAAACATAAAAGCTGAAGCAGAGCAGAGACATTTTTCACCACCGTTTGAGTAGCTGATATTCGCATGTTGGTGAAAAGATCCCCTCAGCAGAGGTTTGTGTTGAAGTCGCTTTGGTATGTCTTGGTTGGCTGCTGGTAGCTATAAAAGAGAATAAGCCTTGTGTAGACTTGTGTAGACTCAGGTCCATGGTCAGCTGGCCTGCAGACTTGAGGACCCACCACTCAGTGGGGAAGCCACTGGTGTCACCAGTGTGGCGAGGAGAAAACAAGAAAATCTGTAGCAGAAGGGTAGCCCATAAGGGATGAGAGCAGCCATTGTATTGTGCACCCGAGATTTAACTGTGGAGCTCTGATATATGTATCTATATTTTCAATTCTGCTATATTTCTAGCTTTCTTAGGCTGCTAGCTTTGCTGTAATCTCTTAGCTCTAATAAATTCTCATGCTTGACAAATGATGATCTCTTGAGTTCGATATGACTAACCCTGCAATCTGAAAGAAACCCAGATGCCTGTCTCGCTGTGTGTCACAGCCACATTCCCATTTCTGCATGTGCCCTACCTCCATTTATTGAGAAGAGCAGTTGCTATCATCAAGATCTTGAATATCCAATACTATTTTTTCTAAAATTATCTTTCAAGCTTGCAACAACCTGAATAATATCCTACATTCAAAAACAGTTTTAACAAGCAGCTTTGTCATAGATTTATACATTCATTCCTAAGGGAAAAGAGAAAGCTTGTGTTCATCTGCTTTATCTAATGTTTAAGAAAAAGTATAACTAATAATACATTTCCATTCTGATGTTCACTGAACTCAATGTCATCTTCTGTAACATCTATTAAGAAATGTCATTTAAAATCAACTTCTTTCATTTTAATTATTTCCCTTTAATTAATAATTAATTAAATTAAGTTTAGTCTTAACTGCTTTGCTTTTAATTTTTCCTCCATGATTAATTCAAAGCTGGAATGAACAAATTAAAAACAATCCAAAAATAAAATTGACTCAATATAATAGTTAAAATTAATTTTAGATTTTGATAACATCAAAAGATTATATATTTTTAAAGTTATTCTTCTAATTTTATTAAACTCTTTCTGGATATAATATTTTCCTGAAATGAAAAATGAACTTCCAGAAGAGAAAACCTAGTTAAATTGCCATTTGTCTATTACCTCTAACCAGTATGACTTTATTCTTTTACAAAATCACAGTGTGAACAGCTAAAAGTAAATGTGCATCTGCAGTGAGTTTGGAAGTTAAAGGCTTTTATCTGTTGGTGGCTTGATTAAAAAGTTGACACCTTACTACATCAGCACAGAGAATGGATTGACAGGTAATTTGTCATTGGATTTCAAAGAGCATCTGTCAGCATCTCAGTGAATGGAGGTA